TGTCTGTCTGTCTGTCTGTCTGTCTGTCTGTCTGTCTGTCTGTCTGTCTGTCTGTCTGTCTGTCTGTCTGTCTGTCTGTCTGTCTATTTATTTCCCGGATATATTAGTGTGTGGTTGAAAGGGTGAATAAGGTATATTAACCCTTTATAGGGCACTCAATGAAATACTTTAAAATTAAAAAATTCAACCTTATAGTCTCATTGGACAACATAATAAGACTTTATTCCAATTGTGACATTTTTTAAATTTTTTTATTTTCATGTTGAAAATCGAGTTGAATGAAGTTACCATATTTGGTAACTTGCCCTTTAGTGGTAAAAATGTCAAGGCCAATGAAGTGATCAAATTTGGTCACCTGCCTTTAAGTGGGAAAACAAATTCCAATAAGTATACATAGATAAAAATACATATAATGCAGGTACTGCACTAGCGCCGGGCTGGTGAAAATGTTATCAGCATAGATGGCTGTGGTGGTGGGGAAGGACATGGTACTGGCAAGGACAGATACAATCTGGCTGGTGGCACCTAAGCCTTCTTGTTCAGGTTTCAGGGGAACATCATGGGCCTCCAGGGTAGTCCTGCCCTGGTTTAGCACAATGTCATGGATGAAGCCATCCTCAGATGCCCTGGCAAACAACTTTAAACCCCACTTGTCTGGCTTGCTTTTGATATATTGCCTCAGGTTGTCAAGTGGCAAAAATCACTCATAATTACTATTCATAAACTAAAAACACAGTGTTGAAATTGAGCAGAATCACTGTATAGTGATATAAAAAACTTTTGCAACCTTAAAACATAATATGCTAAGTTGTATTGCTTTATTTGTAAAGAAAATGCATAGTATGTTTTGTTAGATGCATTGGGCATATGTCCAAAAACAGACATTCCAAGTAAAATCTAGTTTTTAGTGAAAAGGGCATATGATCAAATATGGTGCCTGCATTTTTCATGCCGTATTTTCAATCATTTTAATAATTCCTCAGCAAACAACTTGTATGTCAACACTAAACACAACTATTCAACAATAAAATGTATGAGTTTCATCAAGTTCACATGGTTAGTTTTGATGTTTCTTTTGAAAATGTCCAGTGAACCGAGCTGCAATGGTCGCTAGCTGTGCAGGAACGGACAGCACTGGGCACAGTTCTGTTAAAAGTCCAACCAAAGAGTGAATACTGACAAGATGATCACTCTCACAGAAAGATTGGTCACCGAAACGTTACAAAACCCCATCACGTAGGTACTAGCGTCCAGTTACTGCATGTATTGTTTTTTAATTCAAATTAATAGACTTTGTTCAGTGGTGAAAGCAAATGTTATTTAATGATTTTACTTTCGGTAATTAATAAAGTATATATATATATAGATGTATAAAGTACAATGACACTCTTTTTAAACATTTCAATCGACGAAGTTGCAGTAAGCAGAGGAAAGTGATGTGGTTTAAAATTTAGTGTGATAAGAAATATCAAAAGCATAACTGAAGCTCAAAATCAAGCCTTTAAATGTTTTTGGAGTAAAAAACGGAAGTAGAAACATTTCTTTAAAACAGATTCTTCCGCGTCTTTGCTGATTGGTCAAACGATACAACGTCACGAC